TTTCGTTTAAAGAACGTTCAGCCATGAGATCTTGCGAAATACGGTTATGATGGAAAATTCAATAAAACCTTGATTCTTAACATTGCCTGATACAGACACCCGAAAGTACTCAGAAAGAAGAAAGAATATGTGTAACAACTATCCATACCATATTTTTTCCTGTTTTCGCAGCAGTTTTAATACATAATTTGTTAAATTTTGAAATTATATAATTTTATAAAATGAATTTATGTGACTTAGGCTCTGGGGTATAAGCTTTCAACGTGCAGAATGCAACATAAATTTGTGCAAAGTAATAGGTTATTGGAAATTCGATTTAAATTTACCTGTTCAAAAATAGCGATTAAAAAAATAGACTTTCTTCTAGACGGCGTCACTGAACATGACATCCGCAACGTTTTCAGGTATAAGTATAAGTAATCGTATGAATGCGAGTGATATTCTCTCAAGATTGCACGAGGCTTTAGGCGAGTGCAATTTAAAAGAATTTTCAAATATCACGAGGAGTGTAAATCCTTAATTTTTCTAGCTTTCATACGATTATTCATTTATTATACGACTGAGAAAATTAAGAACACGCGCGCGTTAAGGCGGCGAAATACGAGATACAAAAACCCTCAACTTGTTGCGCTACATTGTTTCATTGCAAGTTTTGGGTCGATGTTTTGAGTTTTTCACCTTGCGTGATCAACTTGTCGCGAAACTAAAACTTTTGTTGCGGGTTGAAGAGATGCAGCGCGCTGATTGGTTGATTTGCATGAGCATAAGAAAATTTNCCTGTTTTCGCAGCAGTTTTAATACATAATTTGTTAAATTTTGAAATTATATAATTTTATAAAATGAATTTATGTGACTTAGGCTCTGGGGTATAAGCTTTCAACGTGCAGAATGCAACAAATTTGTGCAAAGTAATAGGTTATTGGAAATTCGATTTAAATTTACCTGTTCAAAAATAGCGATAAAAAAAAATAGACTTTCTTCTATACGGCGTCACTGAACATGACATCCGCAACGTTTTCAGGTATAAGTACAAGTAATCGTATGAATGCGAGTGATATTCTCTCAAGATTACACGAGCCTTAAGGCGAGTACAATTTAAAAGAATTCTCAAATATCACGAGGAGTGTAAATCCTTAATTTTTCTAGCTTTCATACGATTATTCATTTATTATACGAC